GTACGTTTTCTTGATGCGTCTCTTTAGGCTGTTGAACGCATATATAGCCAGCTTCAATATTTCCGCTATAACCAAAATATACGTGGCGAATAGCAGCTTTTGGTTGATCAACATCTGGTTATGAGTATCGGCCGCTTCCTGGATAATAATGTTATTATTTACTTGTCCATTCGTGTCGACTGTTTTCACTTCGATGTTTTCTTCGTCAGAACCAAACCAGCCCATTATGATGTTTGTTTAGACTTAAATTGCGAACGATGTTAACTGTATGAAGTTCAATTTCGTACTGTGTCCATGAATTTGTTTCTTACTTACTAATACAAAAATTGATAAGTTCACAATTTATGACAAAATTCAACCAAATGATTTTACAATTTTGTGCGCGTTACAATAATTCATATTCGGTTTCGATTAAATTCTAAAATTTTGCTTACGTCGATTCTATATAAAAATAAAAAAATAGAAGAAAACATAAAGAAAAATGATTAGTTGGTTTGTAAAATTGAATACGCTTCATAAAATAAAATATAAAATTTTTGATACGATTATTCAATCAAACCCATGTTTTCGCGACAAAATTTTGTTTTGCTGATATTCACCGCCTTTGTCAGCATATCTGCTGTCATATGTTCGGTTTGTACATAGTCCAATTTTATGGCACCATTCATCACTTCCTGTCTTAAATGATGAAATCTTATGTCTATATGCTTGCTTCTTGGCCTGAATGCCTCGATATTCCCCAAGTTTATTGCGCTTTGGTTGTCGCAATATACCGTAGTCGTTTTCATGTTTTTTTCATCAATTTCACGCAGTAATTGTTTTACCCATAAAATTTCTCTTACAGTCGATGAGAGGGCTATGTATTCGGATTCCGTAGATGATAGAGCAATAATAGATTGGCGCTGACTGCACCAACAATTGTACATGCTTTATGGCAAAGTGACATCTAACGAAAAATGTCATCTTCGAACGCCCGCAGGTTCCAAAGTTTTCACCAATACACACACAAGCACTCACAGAAGACGTCAATTGTAATATTTGCGAACTCTGGTGGTGATTTACTAAATTACCACCATTACAATGTGTGGCATGGTGATTTTTGTATGTATTGTATTTGCTTTGCTGAGCAATATTACTATCGCTCAACGCAGTGTTGGTGGTAATACTGTACAGCGCTGTCACAGCAAAGCAAATATATACAATACATACAAAAATCACCATGCCGCACATTGTAATGGTGGTAATTTAGTAAATTACTACCAGAGTTCACAAATATTACAACTGACGTCTTCTGTGAGCATGATTTCTACGATTCGAACGTTTGAGCGTTTGAATGTATAAACTCGCCTACTTCGTTATTTCATTATTTCGTTGTTTTGTCATTTGGTTAATTCGTTAATTTCATAATTGCGCAACCTGTTAAAATTTTGATTTAAAATTACGCTGAAAATGAATATTAATAAGAAGAAAACTTATTGCCAAATAGTATCATGTGAAAATAATAAGGGAACATTTGAAAAATTGTTTCGGTGACTATTTTTATAGCGAATAAATTTTGTGAGAATATAAAATAATTCAATGATAATTTTTAATGTTTTTGTAGAGCTTCAATTTATGATCCAGAAATGTACAATAAATGGATACAAGCAATTCAAGAGCATCAACATTTTGATCACAGCAAAGTAAATTATAACGTTTGCGTAAAACATTTTCAAACTGAGGATGTGAAAATCCATGGCAAAAAGAAAATTCTAAGAAAGGAGGCCGTGCCGTCACTTTTTGGAGCAGCCGTTGAAAAGAATTGCAGTGATGTAGCTAGTTCAACAAGTCCAACCACTCCAACCATTCCAGTTAACGAGAATATAGTGGAATTGGAAAAGAAAATGCTGCGCTTAACAATGGACCACGATGTTGAAGTTCAAAAACGATCACAAAAAATTAAATCTCTGCAGGAATCCCATAAACAGGACAAAGAAACAATTGCACAGTTAGAAAAAAAATTCGCTCAAGAAAAACGTCGGATTGAGAAATTAGAAAAAACCATCGATCAACAAAAGGGTCAGATTGCGGAATTAAAAGAAACCATCGCAAAACGTGTTCTGTACTTTTTTTAAGTTTCTACGGGATGACATTTGATGATGGAAAAAGAGTGATGATTTTTTGTCTCAAAATTTTCGCCAAATGCATTCTAAGTGGCATTTTCGGATCTTCTGCTGATTCATCCAAGAGCAAGTCATATGTTTCTGGGCTTTCCCCAAATAACAAAGTCACAACATTGGCTACAGCAAACAAACCGCACGATACTGCATCCTTTTGGAATATTCCATTAATCGTTCTGTATTTCTTCCCAGGATAAATTATTTTTAGCACTTCTTTTTGTCCTTTGGTCGGCGATTTGAAATAACTGTCATAAATGATGACACGATTTTTGGAATGATCATAAAAGACGGCTGCGTAGTGACTAGATGCGTAAATAATTTGAATGCAGCCTCATATCCTGATGGAATGACTTGTGCAAGTGATGTTAACTGCATATTAAGAGCCCGATATTCGTTATTGACAATATCAATGAAACTGTCAACCATATACGCGCAAAGATCTTTATTCATAGTCAGCATTTCTTTGATCATCTGTTCTAGGGTAGGTGCAGCGACTCTAATCATAGCAATGCTGCTCAATTCCGCATCGATTGGATGGATTGGAGTAGCGCCAAGGCTTTGGACGATTGGATTTGTTTCCTCCGTCGTTCCCTCTGGTAAATTAATAGGCCCTTCTGTCACCAAATCATTTGATTTCATTTCTTTTGGTGCTTTGTTGTTACCGTCGGTCGTTCGGCCGGTCGTTCGGTCATGAGTACATTCTGATAATACGTTGTTGATTCGTAGATGTTAATTTGATTTGATTTTAGATTATAATAACTGTCCACACATTCACATTTGGGTTCACATATTTCGACCAAAACACTTTAAAAAACAAATCGATTATTTGCTTTTTATAAAATCTATCAAATTGAACACTGTTTGCATTTTTAATAAAGAGTTTGGTAAACAGAGCATACTAATCATGACTTATGATTGCATAAAAATAATTCGAAATATTATATATTCCATTTTTATTACAACGAAAATAATCAACCATTCGGAAAGAGAACGAAATAGAACGAAATAGCGAAAAATGCGAAAAACCACACACACAAACATAAAAAACAGAGATATACAGAGATAATGTTTGAAATCGTTTTGTCGTCGGTCAAAAACTGAAAACGAAAAATAATACGCACAAGAAATTGTGAAAAATTTCTAGGACCAATTCGGCGCGTAAACGTAATAAAATTTTCGCTAATGTCACAATCTACCGTTTTTTTACCACAAATCAATTCATCTAAATGCAAAAACCAATAAAACACAGAATATTGATTTCAAATCACTTACGATTCATAATGGCGGCACTTGCACTCGCGTTGAGAAGTCACAGCTGAATAAAAAAATTATTCAACATCAACATTGATTTACTACTGCATCGAACGAGCGCACCAGTTTGTATCTCTTTCTTTATCACTATATTGAATTCAATCAACTGGCGATCATATTGGATGCAAATTTTGTTTGAATGTATTGCTTGTTGACAAGTGCCAATCATAAGTTGATGTATTAGTTCTTAACCAAAATTGTCGCATGCCAATCATAAGTTGATGTATTAGTTCTTAACCAAAATTGTCGCATGCCAAACGAACAATACATTCAAACAATATTGAACAATGTGGTCGCCGATTGATTGTTCGATATAGTGAGAAAGAAAGATGTACAAATTGTGATGTATACGGTTTTCACTTCTCAACGCGTGTGCAAGTGCCGCCATTACAAAGTAAGTGATTTGAAATCAATATCCTGAGTTTTTTGAGTTTTTACATTTAGATGATTTGTGGTAAAAGATGGAAAAAAATTTTCATAAAAAACATTGCTGAGAATTTCTTTTTGACGTACATTTTTGTGATATTTGTTTTATTTTCGCGCCAAATTTGTTTTAGAAATTTTTCGCAATTTTTCTTGTTAGAACGTGTGCCTAGGAAAATGAGTTTTTGATCAACGACAGTACGATTTCAAACATTATCTCTGTGTATTTCTATTTTTTATGTTTGTGTGTGAAATTTTTTTTTCCCTTTATCGTTCTATTGATTTTATATTATTTTCAAGTATTCGGAAAGAGATTAAATCAATGCAAACCATCGAATGGTTCGAATCTTCGGCAGCGCACGATGTGCTCCGAAGGCACAACGACAGCACAATGATTCGATGCGAGCTTGATTGATCTCTTTCCCGCCAAAATTTACATACTTGATTATTAGTCAATGTCTTCTCTTTATTAAAAAGGCAAATAGTGTTTAATTTGATAGATTTTATAAGAAACAAATGATCGATATGGTCGAAATATAACCAAAATGAGAATATGTGGACTGTTGTTATCATTGTTTCATATATCGCTATCAGTATCCGTAAGGTTGTTATCATCTAAAATGAAAATAAATTAACATCTTCGAATCAACAATTGTCAGAATATGCTCATATTTCCAAAGTTTTATATACGACCGAATGACCGACCGGCCGACCGATTGTGAATGGTATGATGTATTTTTTCGTAGGAAATGCGAGTAAAATCCAATTGAGAGATGTTGACCGATAGCAATTTTTGCGCTTGTCCTATATTTTTGTTGTTAATGACACGATTACACGAAGGTCCCTTTAATCAAAACACATTGTGTCACTCAAAATTGTGTACTTTTAATTTTTTGGGGATGGTGTAATATTTATATAAGGTGGAGTGTAAGACCGGTGGTCCGTCGATTGGTCGTATAAAAATGTGATAATATGAATGTTAAGTAATTATGATGTAATCTTTAATGAAAGTGATAATGAAGTAATCTATAATGAAAAATTTGTTTTTATATTATAAGTTTAACCGATAACAACATTGGCGATAAATGATGTGTTGCTTACAGAAAAATGGAGTATCGCTATATAACTGGGTTCCGTGAAGGATCTAAACTATTATACATTGAATCGCAAAAGTTCTTATATCGTTTAAAGTCCAAAAGAGGAGATGTGCAAGACTACATTTGTTATCAATCAATATTGGCGAAACCAAAGAAAAATCAAACCGAAAAGGATCAGTGCGATTGTGGTGCTCGAGTTCGAATTCATTCAGACGGATTATGCGAAAAGATACAAAATTCGAAACATACGCGTCATAACAATCATGATCAAATCGTACGAGGTATGGAGAAATCCGACAACATCAAACAAAGATGTAAATTGTTGAAAGAAAATTACACTGAAGATGCGCACAAAATCTCAACAAGGCACATTTTTCAACGAGAAATCGCTAAGTATGCACTTTTCATAAATCCTAATTTTTCATTGAGTCCGATCGACCGACCGACCGATATTGTTTGGAATTTTGAGTTTCTTATAAAGTAAATTCTTTCATTTGTTCCAAGGAATGGTTTTCGAAACACAAAGTTGATTTATGATCGGATGAAAAGAACTCTCGAACGCCACAAAAATAAAGAGCACCCGAAAAATCCAAAATCGATTGAAAACATTCGTCTCACCTTTCAAGACCATGAAGTATTCGATAACTATGGATACAATTTGGAAAGAGATGCCATATTCTATGCCGATACTGTCATAACAAAGGATTATGCGTTCACAATTTTCTGCTCGAAATATGTCATTGATTTCATCGAACAAAATATTGACCGAATTTCAGGCAATATTTGATGGATGGCACATTCGATTCATTACCTCAGGAATACTATCAATTCTTAATCATCTCTATAGAATATCAAAATGATGTAAGTTCTATTTCATTGTATGAAAGTCCGAACGTCCTCCATTTCATGAAAAAATGGTTATTGACTTTGATATGTATTCTCTAGATAGTCCAGACCAAATAAGCATAGGCGAAAACGATGAAACAAAGATTTTGGGATTATGTTGGCTAAAATCAACTGATGAATTTTCAATTGTTGTTAAAGAAATGAACAATCAGAAAAACATAACTAAGTGAAGCATATTAACCCTTCTGTCTACCTTTGAGTACCCCTGTACTCATTTCACTATTTAATAAGATATTTTTCATATTTAATGACATAATAATGATATGAAACTTCGTGACATCTTAAAACAATTAATTTTAGGTTTATTAAAAAAAAAATCGGAAAATTTCTTGCTTCAGAAGTGGTTTTTCCAAGGTCTTGGAAAATTCTTATCGTATAGCATACCTTTGGTGTACCCGGGTACTCACATACATTTTGTATGGAAATGAATGTAGTGGAATGACAAAATATAATAATAAAACTAAAAAATAAATTCTTTTTATTGAAATACACTCATCTGTGATTTGAGACAGTTGAAAATGTGTATTTATTTGACAAATTTATTGTTTGCATTGATTACAAAAATGTAGATTTGTTGAATGTTCATCACAAATTGGGTCATTACACACAGAACAGGCTTTTCTGGTCTGACGACGTCGCTTATTTGCTTTACAAGTAATGCAGTAGCCCTTTTTCCTTTTGCGACCGCCAACAGCTTGTGTTTCTTGTTGTGATGATCGGGGCAAATTGATTCGTGTTCCAAGAATACTCTCAATTCCAAGACGTGTGCCAAAATGGCCAATTGTTCGAGGACATTGTGATATCCAAATATGGAAGAAAATGGGGTACGATACGGTGATACTTGCATTTCCGGTGGAATGCATAATTTTCGTTTGTTCAGTTTTCCAACAAGAGACAATTTCCACTCCATTAGCATCTTGGCCAATGGTAAAGAAGTAAAGAAATTATCTGTGATAATGCAGCGACCAGTGCCGCGATATCTTTGAGCAAATTAAAATTATTGTTTTCATTTACTACACGATTTTTTACGTTGGAATTCATGTCTTTTTGCTTTGATACGTCCGCTCTCAATGAATGCAAATAAACAAATGACGCAGAAAAAAAAATTGCGACGCAATATTGTATTTCTATATATGCGTTCAAATGCGTTGTCTACTATTTTTGTCTTTAGTTCGTTCTGAGCTCATACGCACAAAACGTATGTGTAAAAATCATATATTTTCACATATAATAACCGGTTTTTCATACAAAATATATGTGAGTACCCGGGTACACCAATGGTTGCAAGTGCGATAAACAAATATAGGTAGACAGAAGGGTTAAGCGAAATTGCAAGATTCTTTGATCCTAATGGTTTTATTGCTCCGATAGTTGTCAAGTCCAAAATGATAATGCAAGACATATGGCATTTGAAAGAGGTTGATTGGGACAACAAAGTACCGGAAAGCATAGAAAAAGAATGGTTGGAACTATACGCAAATCTCCCACTGCTAACAGAATTCAAGATAAAGCGTTGGTTGAAAACAAATAGAAAAAATGAAACACAAATACATGGATTTTGTGATGCGAGTGGAAAAGCGTATGGCACTGGAGTTTATATCAGAGTGGTAGATGAAAATGATGAAATTTCATGCGTTTTGTTGTCTGCCAAATCACGCGTAGCGCCACTAAATACGGTAAGCATTCCGAGATTAGAACTTTTAGCGGCAGTAATGCTAAGCGAGCAAATTGAAGCAATTGTTGAAGCATGTGAATTTCAAGAGAAAGATATCACGTTATGGTCAGACTCAACTGTAGTGTTGAGTTGGATAAAAAAGGAACCACATGAGTTGAAAGCGTTTGTTGGAAATCGGATAGCAACGATTCAAGAAAAAACCAAGCTAATGAAATGGAAACATATACGCACAAACGACAACCCAGCTGATTTAGTAAGAAGAGGCATGAAAATGCAAGATTTTTTGAAAAGCAAAGAGTGGTTAGAAGGCCCATCGTGGCTAAAGCAAAAAGAAGCGTTATGGCCAGAGTCAAAAATGATCGTTACTTCCGAAGCAAAAGAGGAAGTAATGAAAGAGTGTAAAAAGCAATGCGATGCACAAACATTTTTCATGACTTCCGGAAAAGACCACCTGATGTTGTATAATAAATTTCAAAGTTGGGACACGTTGATTAACGTAACAGCATACGTGCTAAGACTATGCCACGGTATAATGATGCGTAATATTCGAAAAGGCAATGCAGGCATGGAAAAGCGTTTCTTAACTTCTGATGAAAGAAATAAAGCGGTTGAGTTCAGGGTAAAATTCGAGCAGAGCAAAACATTCAGAAAAGAAATCGAATGCATAAAAAATGAGAATAGATTGCGAATCAAAAGCGACATTAATTCACTGCGTCCAATTTTAGATGAGAAAGAAATATTGCGAGTAGGTGGCAGAATCGACAAAGCAAATATGGCATATGAAAGAAAGCATCAATACATTATACCGCACAAGTCAAGACTTTCATATCTTCTTCTCAAGCATGCACATGAAGCAACAATGCATGGAGGCGCGCAATTAATGATACACTTCTTGCGAAAAAAATTTTGGATACCAAAATTAAGAGCTGAAGCGAAACAGTACATTAATACATGCGTACAATGCATTAAACAAGCCCAAAAAACTGCTGATCAAATAATTGGCCAATTGCCGAGAGTGAGATTACGCCCAGCGCCAGCGTTTCAGAACGTCGGTGTTGACATGGCAGGCCCATATAGAATTAAAGCGATAAGCAAACTAAACACCAATACACGTGGACGTAATCTGCCCGATACAAAAGGCTGGATCACAGTGTTCGTATGTTTAGTCACAAGGGCTGTGCATCTCGAAGTGGCTAATGGAATGTCATCAGATGATTTTTTAGATGCGTATCAAAGATTTACGAGCAGAAGAGGCAATCCCGAAATAGTTTACAGTGACAATGGGACCAATTTCATAGGCGCAAATAGAGAAATTCAAAAAGCGTATGAGATATGGAAGACCGAACAAATTCAGCATTATGTTCATGCCAAAGGCACTGAATGGAACTTCATAACGCCGTCAGCTCCAAATGAAGGTGGTATTTGGGAAGCGGCTGTAAAATCAATGAAGCACCATCTAAAGCGAGTAATGGGTACGCAAAGTTACTCTTTTCAAGGCATGAGCACTCTCACATCAAGCGTTGAAGCATGTCTGAATTCGAGGCCACTGTGCTCTCTCTCAGATGACCATGAAGACATGGAAGCATTAACGCCAGCGCATTTCCTTATAGGAAGATCTCTGAAGCTCCCAATGCATGAAAAGGCTGACAAGCCACCATATAATATTAAGCGTTTATTTCTCCAAAAGCAGTTTCAAATTCAAGCGTTCTGGAAACAATGGTCCAATGATTATTTGCAAGCACTCTCTCAATTACCAAAATGGAGAGAGGAGCAAGACAATTTAAGAGTTGGCCAGTTAGTTGTTATTAAAACTGACAATGTCCCGCCAACATATTGGGCTATGGGGAGAATTAAGCAGACGCACGCAGGCAGTGACGGTAAAATAAGATCGGTCACAATAAAAACACAAATAGGCCAGTTAGAGAGATCTGTAAGAAAAATATGCGTATTACCAAGCGATGTTGAACTTTCTTATTGGAGTTAAAAATCAGGCTTTTTAACGGGGGGAGTGTTAGAAGCGTACATACATAGGCATACGCGAGAGAATACAAGCACA